GTGGGATGTAACCGCCTGGATAATCACACAACGCGCACACGTCCGATAATGACACGTCCAATTCGCAAACTAATGACTCATTTGAACCGATTCGTTTTAATGAATGGTTAAAACAACTGATCTGTCTGAATCGGTGTATAACTAATCGTTAACACTTTGTAATAAGGTTTCATTTATTACATAAATTACATAAAACAAATAAAAACACTTGTTTTTTCCCCCCGAAAAAGCATATGACTACTTTTTTCCACACAATGCTATCATGAATCGATAAGAGAATCGTTAAAGAATCGGATCGATAAGCAGAATCGTCAGTGGCATTGATATTGATAAAATCTTATGTTTCTTATGATAACTGAGATAATGCTGCTAAATTTTTTTTTTTTTTTACCTTGAATGTCATTGCTCTAATTTATTTTTTATATTTTTCATATTTCATATTTTGTTCAAATGGTTATTATAGCCTATCTGCTGTTCAAATGTTCATTTATTAGTGTGTTATGATTGGAATGTTGTCCCAGTTTTAAAATAAAGCACAGCAATGATATTTGAGAGTGTTTCTCCTTTTCAGGAAAAGTATCGAAAAAGTATCGAAATCGCAATTCTTGACTTGGTATCGGTATCGAAACAATAATTTTGGTATCGTGACAACACTACTTTATGGGGCAAAACACTGATTTGCCAAAATAGATGTGCGTTTGTGTGAATGCAGCCTATTAGCTCTCCCGCTGTCAGTAATCAAACCGCTGAGGAGGAGAGAATCACGGCTCTTGACTGGGAAACATTCAGATACTTAAAGCGCTTTTAGGGCTGGTCCGAATACCATTTTTTGAAGCTTCGATAGTAATGAACATTGAATATTCGAAGCTTCGGAATCTCTGTATGTCTGTCCGTTCGTTTGCATTTTGATTATTTCGAGAACCGTTCATCCAAACGACTTCACAAGGAGTGCAGTGTCGTATTTGGTGCAATATAGATAGACGGGCGAGACGCGACACGTTCAGAATTAATAAACTTGTAATAAACTACAGAACAGCGCGAGCGGGAAGCAGCGCGCCTCACGCGAGCAGAGCTTATGCTCTGAGAACGGACACTAGTGATATAAAACACACACACAAACACACACAGAGGTCTGTTAACTTGAGCAATATTTTTAGTAAGGTATAATATTTTACTCACTGACAAAGTAGGGTAGATTTAAATAAAGAAGCGGCGCGCCTCACACGAGCAGAGCTTATATGCTCCGAGAACGGACACTGCACTAGTGATATAAAACACACACACACACACACATAAAACACACACACACACACACAAACAGGTCTTTTAACTTAAGCAATATTTTTAATAAGGTATAGACTAGTCTGATAATATTTTTCTCACTGACAAAGTAGGGTAGATTTAAATAAAAACGAAATTTAAATAAATAAAAACGAAACTTAAATAAATACAAAATAAAAAATGAAATAAAAACGAAATTTAAGTAAATAAAAAACAAAATTTAAATATAGAAAAACGAAATTTAAATAAAGAAAAACAAAAAATAAATGAACGAACTGTAGTAGCCTAAATAAAGAACACTGTAGCAATAACAATTTCAGTAACATCACACATTTCAATTAACAAACAGTTTAAATAAAATAAAATAAATTCCCTTATATAGAATTAAACAAACTGTAAACAGAACAAGGTAATTTTAAATTAATGTGATTTTGTTTCTATTCTATTTTCCACAATGTCAAAGCAACACAGCTTAACCCAGAACACAAGCTCAGGCACTTCTGTCCACACACACTCCGCTGCTCTGCGCTCTAGCCAGAGGATACTCCCGTTGCAGGAACACTTTCAGTAGTCCAAGAAGAAGCAAATATATTTATTAAGTAGCTATAACAAAGTTATATGTTAAGTATTATATTTCACCAGATTTTATAGTGTAAAACATATTCAAGCGTGAATGAAAGCCGTTTCGAGGGGGATGCCAGGTGTGCAAAAAAAAATCGAAAACAAATATTCGATTGTCACATTTTCAAATCGAATACCAACCCACCGAACGAATATTTGAATATTCGGGTCCAGCCCTAGCGCTTTAAGCAACTGAAAGCACCTTTTTTTTTTTCTTTTTTTTTTTTCTTCGTCTTAACAACTTACTATTTGCTTGTATGTTTTGAAGTTCTCTTTAGTTAGTTGACAATTAAAAAAAATTGCACAAATACATTTCACATTTATAGTCTGTAAATTAATTCTAAAGAAAAAAAAGATCAAGAATCGTTTTGTAATGGGATCGGATCATGAAGTGCCTAAAGACCCCTAGCATTAACGTGGGCTTCTGTGCAGAAGCTGATGCTTGACGTGTGTTGATCCCGTAGGAGATGGACATTGATGAAATCCTGAAGAGAGCCGAGACCAGAGAGAACGACCCTGGGCCGTCGACTGTAGGAGAAGAGCTCCTCTCACAGTTCAAGGTGTGCGATTTAAACACTGCAAATACTTCTTCAGCACCTTCTCGGTCACACCATTATCACGCTATTGAACACGTTTGCTCCATCCTGCAGGTGGCAAACTTCTCCATGATGGAGGAGGAGGAGATCGACATGGACACGGAGAGGAACGTTAAGAACTGGGATGACATCATCCCAGAGGAGCAGCGGAGGAGACTTGAGGAAGAGGAGAGACAGAAAGAGCTCGCGGAGATCTATTTACTGCCCCGCATGAGGAAATGTGCTAAACAGGTACACACGTCTGTGTGTTTGATGGCGTTAGAAGATTACATCATGAGTTGATGAATGAGAAAAGAAAAATGGCATATCTAGCAACATACGCCTGCAGTTCTTTGTACTTTCTCTTTATGTACCTGTTTGTTTTGCAATGACAGGCCAACTTTAATGGCAACGAGGGCAGACGCAGCCGGAACAGGCGATACTCGGGTTCAGACAGCGACTCGGTCTCCGACAGGAAGAGGCCCAAGAAACGAGGAAGACCTCGAACCATTCCAAGAGAGAACATTAAAGGTTTCACTGATGCTGAGATACGCAGGTGAAGCCGCTGATGCTCCGTTTACCAAACTCATACACTATCATCAGCAAGAAATCAAACCACTTATGCAGTGCTGTTACAATATAGAGAATTATTGGTGGAACCGGTGAAAAATAAGAAGATTTCTGTATTAATCTTGTGGAAATGTGTATTATTGGATAATCCAGTGAGAGTTTGCTGTGAGGTTTCTTTGTAAAGAAAAAAACAATTGTGTGTAGAAAAACAAAGAAAATTACAAACAAGCTGAAAATGATAGTTATAATTTTACTCTTGAAATTCAAGCATATTAAATTAATCCAAAAATTAGCCACTGATGCTCTGTTTATCAAGTTCAGCACTAGGGGTGGGCGGTATAAGCAGTTTGATATTGTGCTAATGATAGTGTATATTACTATATAGAGCATTCTTTGACATAAGTGAAAAAAAGGTTTTTGTATTAAATGATCTTGATGAATCCAGTGAGAGTTTGCTGTAAAGTTTAATTTCTTTTCTTCACAAAGAAAATTAAGCTGAAAATGAAAGTTATAATTTAACTCCTGAAATTCAAGCATATTAAATTATAATTATTTTATTAATCTAATAATTAAAGGTAATCATTTAGTTAGAATTTTATGTGACCAATGTTTTTTGTTTCCCATACAGATTTATCAAAAGTTACAAAAAATTTGGTGGGCCTTTAGAAAGGTAAGTACTTTATTTGTATTTTTTTCGATCGCTTCATGTGTTAGCGGTTGGGCCTCTCTCATTGATGTGCATCACAGGCTGGATGCCATCGCTCGGGATGCGGAGTTGGTGGATAAATCTGAGAATGACCTGCGGCGGCTGGCAGAGACCGTACACAACGGCTGTATGAGAACGCTACGGGAGAACCCCTGTGGACCTGAACGAACCTCAGGCAAGAGCACCGATCACTGAAGTCTGTGGAAACCATGAAACTCTGCCATTTCAGTCCATCCAAAAAATCGTGCTGTCATAATGTGAAAAAAATCATGCCTTTGAGTTCTTTGTCACCTTTTTCACACCTGATGAGTTTGCATTTGGGAGAGTTAGTTAACATTTTGGATGTTGTAAAAGAGTAAGACTGTAGTCAGTGAATGTTCCCCATATGTGCTGGTTCATATCAGGAGGCAGGCGAGGGAAGGTGAAGGGACCCACCTTCAGGATCTCAGGGGTTCAAGTCAATGCTAAACTGGTGATCTCTCATGAGGAGGAGCTGGCACCATTACACAAGGCCATTCCTTCTGACCCAGAGGAGAGGAAGAGGTAAGAGCAAAACTACCAGGCTAGGGTTCATGTTAATGACATACCACTTTTACGAGTCCGCTCCATGAAAAACCCCTCTGAAGACCTGCTGATTACCGTAGTTATCATAAAGTGTGGCACTATGTTCGTCATGGTCGGCTTGACTTGGAGTTCAGCAGCCAGCGTTGTGTTTTGAATGACATGTCATGAAAGGTAGCCTGGGAAAACCCAGACAACTTCCGGCAAATTTAGATTTGCTCTGAAAGTTAGTCTGGCAAAGAGCTCATTCAAGCCCATTTCCAATCCGTCGAAATCGCGGCACCAATCAGAAGCGTTGGGGCGGGCTTTACACGATGACGACAGCGCTGGGATTTTGAAGCAGATTTTGTAGCCTACATTACAGAGATGGATGCCGCCGTCGAACATCACTCGTTCCAATCAGCTATCGCGTCTGTTTTAAGCGATTTGAACGTTTCCTTTTTGTTAAAAACCGAGCAAAGAACAACACTCGGAGATGTTTCTCCGCCGCTCTGCATACGTCATCTCCTTCATCGCTCTGATTGGGTTTAGGTCTATCCGCGACGTCCGTTGGTGACGCCCCTTTGGAAATGATTTGTCTATGACGCTTTGCCAGACCATAACTCAGTTACAACTGAGAATGCTCTGGATTTAACCAGGCTACATGAAAGGTGCAGTAAATTTGATATTTGAAAACGACACCCACCCCTCCCTTCATTGCTCCGCCCACAGAATAACAAACACACTATGCAACAGATGACGAGTAACAGCTGGTGTATCGGGCAGCTCACAAGTATGGCTGAACCTCAACCATAGTTCAACAGCACATCTTGGCTCTGTGAAACGGCAAAAAAACAATTTTACTTGTGTATCTGGCAGAAATGATGCACAGCAATCTCAGCATCCGTGTTCAGGCTCTCCCGCTTTCTAATGTCTCTCCAGCACTGGAAAGATTTTCCGAAATGAACGTGGGTCCTAAAGTTCTTGCCTGATCGTAACCCCTTTTTACCCAATTATATTCCTCTAAGCCATATCTCTTTCTAGTCTTTCTACAAATGTTCACTCTCTTGCTCACTCTCTCTCCTCCCCCAACATGAGTGGACACGCCCCCTACTGCTGATTTGCTAAGAGTGTTTTGGTGCTCATTCTGATTGGCCTGGTCAAGTTTTTCCTAGTTTTTTTCTTCTATTCACACAACCAGGACTATGTACAAACACTATTTTTCACCTAATTTTTTTTTAAATTTGACACAATTTCTCAGAATTTGTTAAGTTAAATGTTTAAAAGTAGTTGTTAATAAGAGACCCTGTGTTCTGTTCCTCTGGTTGCTTGCTTTGGGAGGGCAGGAAAATTACTTGTTAGACAATATATGTTAATCTTTTTTTTCCTAATATGTAAAGGTATATAATCCCATGCCACTCAAAGGCAGCTCATTTTGACATTGAGTGGGGTAAAGAGGACGACTCCAGTCTGCTTATTGGGATCTATGAGTACGGATATGGCAGCTGGGAGATGATCAAGATGGACCCAGACCTCAACCTCACGCATAAGGTACAGAAACACAGTGTTTGACCAACATGCCCTGTTGTACTGTTGGGTTCTTGTTGTTTTAGTGATTATGTATGACGCATTCAAATGATAACTTGTTACAAAATTTGTTGCAGCTCCTTCCAGATGATCCTGACAAGAAGCCACAGGCCAAACAGCTGCAGACACGAGCTGACTACCTCATCAAATTACTGAGCAAAGACCTCGCCAAGAAGGAAGCGCAGAAACAGGCCGGCACTGTGAGTCACGCAGATTTAACACAATCCACACATACTACAAAATATCACTGAAAGCAGATTGGCGTTCTGTAAAGCGACAAGCTTCAGAGAGTCTTTGTTCACAATTAACATGCATTCATTTCAAAGTGAAGAAATCCAGTGAGTTAGTTGATGTACCAGATAGACTACACTGAGCAGTGACTTTTCACAAGTGAGTGTTTTTGCGAGATCATAAAAGCTCTGAAATTTACCAGTTAATCATTCAGAATAGCTGCAACCAACTCTGTTTATTGCAATTGTTCCCAAACCTTTTGAAACCAATGGCACCCCTTTTAGCTAAAGCATAAGCTTTTCTTGTAAAAAAAGAAAGTGAAATAGGCAATAACGTTGTCGGTGAACAGCTCATACACTCCTTCATTTGCCCTTCGGTGCTTTATTACAGACACTGATGTTTATTCTGCTCCATAGGCAAATTCACGCAAGAGAAAACCACGGGGCAAGAAGAATAAAGCTGTAAAACCGAAGATGGATGATGTGACGAACAGTCTGTCCTCTGCGCCGCCGTCGGATAAGAGCTCTGAAGAAGAGGATGAGAAGGAGGAAGAGGAGAAGGTTTGTGTTGAGCTGGTATACCATGTGTGAGGGTTGATGTCGTTATGTCTGATGATGTAACAGGCGGTCATTGTTGATTGTGTATGGGTGCAGAGCACATTAATATGGAAATCTGCTTGTGTGTGGTTTCACTATCAACAGTGTGCGTACTGTGTGTACAGTAAAACAGCCCATTGAAGACGGCCTGAACTTATATCTCTAATCCACTAGCATCAAGCTAGATGGTTATGCTAATAACTGTAAGCTTTCGAGTTTCTACCAACTAGATTTTCTGACATTTTTTTGAAAAACCTACCATCTCAGACTCTTACTGCACTTGTTGCTCCTTGGTTGAGAAGCGTTAGAAGTAAGTGGTTTAACTATTTTAATGGGGAACGGCCATGAGTCAGGATTCAAATTCTGGTCGCCCGAAGCACAAGTGCTCTACATTTCCAAGCGCTGCCCATGAGGCCATTAACTCCAGACAAGACAAGAGTTTAAGTAAGCTAAAACGGCTGAAGCTAGCCAGCTACATCAGCTATTGAGATTGACTTTTGTTTAGGTACCAGGGTTCTGTCTCGGGGAACCTGGATATAGATTTCTAGACCTGGAAAAGTCAGACATTAATAAAATCGTAAACTCATGGAAATTTCTATAATACACATTTCAATTGTATTTAATTGAGAAATTGCGTTTGTGACTTAATTGTAAAAGCCTTATCCCATAATCAAAAACAAGTAGGAAAGTTGTAAATACATTGAACCTTGAAGAACATTCTTGAATCTTCTGAAACTCTAGAATGTAATTATTTTTTATATTCACGTACAATAAATGAAATGTAATTTTAAAAATTATAATATATTGACAAAAAATGTGAAGAAAAGCAACTTTGTCTTGAACAATCTGGGGCCTTGGAGTGAAAAATGTTGAACCATTTGAGTTTGCATTGGATCTTCATCAAGCTCTAAATCGATTATGTCCAAACCATGCTGGCTAAAGGTTACTGAGAACTTTTTGATCAGGGTACCCGCGGGTCTTAAAAGCCTTGAAAAAGTCTTGAATTTTGTATACCAAGTCTTTGATTTCGATTTTCGAAAAAACATTGCAAATTTAATGAACATTGTTTTATTTAAAGCATTATTTCTTTCTTTTTTTAAAAGGTAAAAAAGGGATAATTATGTAGAACTGCACAAGTGCTAAATATAAAATAACTACCAAGTAACTGCAGTTTGACTAAAAGTTGACAAAAAATGCAAAGACTTTTCGTCAACTACAACTATAAAAAACTGGATGACTCAAATGTGATTAAGACCAATAAACATTTTCGTCTGAAGACTAAATAAAAAATGGCTATCAAAATTACACTGGCCTACATACACATGCGTGCTACAATGCTGTTGCGTATGTATTAAATGAATTAAAACATTTTACTTAAATTATCAGTCAAGTAGCCTCCTTTTACATAATTATTTTCTAGGGTTTAAAATGTATACAGATTTGACATTTTCCCCTCATACTTCTGTCGGAATGGGTACGAAGTTGGCATTGAATTTCATTTGAAATGGTATTAAAAAGGTCTTAAAAAGCCTTGAATTTAAGTTGGAGGATCCTGGGGGTACCCTGTTGATACTCTCATGTCAAAACTATAACCCTAAACACATTTAACATCCTTCTCTCCCATATAGACAATATCACAATTTAAAATCATTTTCTATGCAAGTAAGTGCTGAGAACCCACTTTCACAAGCTGCAGTGTTGAGAAGGGCAGTACTGCCTTTACAGCGCGATTTTTCTGCACGGGTGTTATCCAGAAATCTGGCAGGGACTTTTGCTGGATGATGCGCAATAGTGTAAATGAGGTCTGATACATCCTATTGTTAGACATTTCATACAGCTATAGGGACAAAATCAGCCTTTGGCAAAAAGAGGTGGAGACTGGAGACATTATAAATGATGCCCATATCTCTACTTCCTGCTCTCTTTCACAGATTCATCAGTGTGCTTCTTATTCTGAACATTTAACAACAAAATAAAATCCAAATTGGCCATATTTACTTGGATAATTAAATGTCCCCTGACCTGTTGTGCACAATGGCTTTCTCTGTCTCTGAAACAACTGTTCTAATGACGTAACCAAGCTCGGAAAAGCATTATTTGCAACAGTATATTCTGTTCCTTTTGGAAATGCATCACATTCTGGAAGTTAAATGCATTACCAGCACTAATGTGTTTTCTGTCGTCTTACAGGAAACTGCTCCAGTGAAGCCGGCCAACAGAAGAGCGCGCGTGCCAGAGCGGGCAGTGAAGGAGGAGGAAGAGGAGGAGGAGGAGGAGGAAGAGGAGGAGGAGGAGGAGGAGGAGGAAGAGTCCGACGAGGACGAGTTTGAGGATAAAGAGCCAGTTGAGAAGGACGTAACCGAGAAAGTGGTTAAAAAAGAGATTAAGAAGGAGAAGAAAGAGGAGGGCCGTGACAGCAAAGAGAGGGAACCAAAGGAGAAGGAGAAGGAGATAAAGCCTGAACCTGTGCACAGAGAGGACGAGACTCCTGCAGAGAAGGTCACACCTCTCAACTATGGCCTTATTTTAAAACTTGGCGAGCTGCCTAACTTGAAAACATTTTTGGAAGTCAACGGCCCATTCAAAGTCCAGTTATAGCCAATTTTTATTTATTTATTTTGATGGCACGTGGTCTCTTTTAGTTGCTCATCCTAGTGTTATTCTGTGACCGTTCTGGTTTATAATCATATCTCTGTAAATGTTTTATAGACTGATATTTATAATCTTTTCATGTCAATTGGTGAGGAGACTTGAGTCTCACCTCAGATTTGATTAAGAACAGGCCACAATAGTTTCTCCGCTAGTGGTCCTTCAGCAGCCACATGCCTGTGATGTCCAAAACCGCTGTCTTCATGCAGCTCGCTAGGGTTTAAGACATCTGTGTGTCATTTTTATCTAACATGTGGTCCAACATGTGCATGAATTACTCAAGCAGCGGTTGACTGTGTTCTCAGGCTGTAGAGGTGAAGGCAGAAGTGCGGGAGAAGAAGGCCGACACCCCCGTGCACACGCCCTCAGGAGGAGATGCCATTCATCTGTCTGAGGAGTCTGAAGAACTGGACCAGAAAACCTTCAGTGTGGTGAGTTTGAAGAACTGAGAAGCCATGCATCTGATCCAAACCTTTCCTCAGGAGATCCAAAGCCACATCATAAACACTAGCTGCGTTTACATGGACCCTAATGATCCAACTGCAATCGGACTAGTAGCCCAGTGGGAATAAAGGCACGTGTAACCACGTCAATTGGATTGAATTGGTCAAATCCGATTGAAATTTCATTAGGATTGTAAGGGGTGGTGTTGTCACGATACTGGAATTTCCAACTTCGATACGATACCTTGGAAAATATCGATATTCGATACCAGGGAAAAACTGCAATATATACCACAAATAAATACATTAGAATAAAAAGACAATCAAAGCTTTTCAGGTTGGTTTAAGAGTATTCCGGTAAGAAATAAAAGTGAAAATGATTCCGTGTTATTCTACATTTGATTAGATTATTCATTAAATACAGAGTAATGCTTACAATTTAAGTTACAAAAGTTATTCAGTGAAGAGCAGCGAGTGATTGTCTCTGTCTTCTGTTCTTTGATGAACATGGCAGACAGAAGCGGGTTTATTAGGCTGCTGTCCCTTTAAGAGCTTATGCACTGATCCAATATAACAGTTTACATTCCAAAACTGACCAAATTTACCTGAATACTCGGCAAGACGCTCAATTTTACATAATTTTGGATGTATTTGACTGTTTAAAGCGCAAAAAGCCAAAATGGTACTCGGGCTGTTTGAGAGGCGGCTTTGTGCGCGGGGAGGAGAGAGAGCGTGTCAAAACGTGCAGCTGGTGTATTTGGTGTGTCCACACACATCGAAGTATCGCTATTTTTGACAACACTAGTAAGGGGTGGTTTAAACCTTTAATCCGTTTGATAAACATGTGAACACTTGGTTGGATTGAAACCCGAAACTGGAGCATTCTATACATGAGCAATGACGTAGAAATGGCTTAACCAGGGGTGCTCATAACCAACAAAATGTTGGCACTCAAAAGCGCTTCCCTCCATGTTTTCTTGTGTGCATGCGTGGCAAAAATAAACAATGCGCACCAGAAAACGTGGAGGGAAGCGCTTTTGAGTTGGGACAGGGACACGTTCACTTACTCGAGTAGGATTTTTCTCCATCCCTGGTAAGATGGCATCGTAAGTGTTCATTAATTATTAGGGGTTGCCTAATAGCAATTGATGCGTACGGACCCACGGTTCGGCAATCATGTAACTGATGGTTAATCCAGGAGAGGGAAAGTTTACCATTTGGACGTGTTTTGTTTTGCCAATTTACACATTTAAATGATTTTAAACACGGAAGAAGTGAAAATCGGCACTTGCGCGCTGTTATCTGTGCGCACAGCCTCACACACCCGAAGAGAGAGAGAGGTTTCAGAGTGCTCGAACACCGAATTAATTCCTCTTTGGCGTTTACCTGTGCTTGAACGGACACATACACACACAATTGTCAAAATACCCGTCTCATCAAGTATTCTCTTGGTCATAAAAGTTGAGAAATAAACCGGATGTGTCTGTATATTTGGTCGGTGCATTTGATCTCAGACAACAGCAGGAATATTATGCTGCCGTCACTGTCATTAATGTTTAAAAAAAAACTTTACGTGTGCCTTGTAAAGTGTGAGTACCAGGCAGCGTCTCCAGCTGCTCCCTTGAGAACCGGACCAGCAAATACGTGCACCCCTGATGATAATGCATGATGTGTGGAACGAGCTGTTGTTGAATATAGTGTCATAAATGTGTCAATATAATATTCTCCTTCTACTCATCGTATGTAAATAGTGCAAGATAACGTTTTGCTTTGGACTCTCCTACACAGTTCACACTCTCGTTCACAATGATCCGCACTAACAAAGCAATCACACCACAGTTCGTTTTAATCCACCCAAACCTGCCAAGTGTGAGCACACCCTAATAAGGGTGGATCTAGAAACTGCTCTCCTCTAGGCAACATTTCCTGTTTGTTTGTTTGGCAAGTCGGCGAAACTAGGTTTAGAACAGAAGCTGATGTCCTGTTTTGTGAGTGATACTGATGTAGATGATTGTACTGTACTGAATCATGCGTGTGTGTGTGTCAGTGTAAGGAGCGGATGAGGCCCGTGAAGGCAGCACTGAAGCAGCTGGACCGTCCAGAGAAGGGTCTGTCTGAGCGAGAGCAGCTGGAACACACGCGGCAGTGCCTGATCAAAATAGGAGATCACATCACCGAGTGTCTGAGAGAGTACACCAACCCCGAACAGATCAAGCAGTGGAGGAAGTACGTCATTTCTCATGAGCCTAGTAGAGCTGCACGATTCAGCGTTACAAGATGGGCGACTCGTGTCAAACAACCACTCCATCTTACTCCTAAACGAGAACGATTCGGCTCTATTAAACCTTTGACAAGTACGATTGCGCTGAGCAAGAGAGCAGTTGGTCATGTACACAAACAGTCTCTTCAACAACACAGCATCATTTCTTACAATATTCATATCACATATCTGGAGTAAAAGTCTATAGTTGAGATACACTCACCTAAAGGATTATTAGGAACACCATACTAATACTGTGTTTGACCCCCTTTCGCCTTCAGAACTGCCTTAATTCTACGTGGCATTGATTCAACAAGGTGCTGAAAGCATTCTTTAGAAATGTTGGCCCATATTGATAGGATAGCATCTTGCAGTTGATGGAGATTTGTGGGATGCACATCCAGGGCACGAAGCTCCCGTTCCACCACATCCCAAAGATGCTCTATTGGGTTGAGATCTGGTGACTGTGGGGGCCATTTTAGTACAGTGAACTCATTGTCATGTTCAAGAAACCAATTTGAAATGATTCGAGCTTTGTGACATGGTGCATTATCCTGCTGGAAGTAGCCATCAGAGGATGGGTACATGGTGGCCATAAAGGGATGGACATGGTCAGAAACAATGCTCAGGTAGGCCGTGGCATTTAAACGATGCCCAATTGGCACTAAGGGGCCTAAAGTGTGCCAAGAAAACATCCCCCACACCATTACACCACCACCACCAGCCTGCACAGTGGTAACAAGGCATGATGGATCCATGTTCTCATTCTGTTTACGCCAAATTCTGACTCTACCATCTGAATGTCTCAACAGAAATCGAGACTCATCAGACCAGGCAACATTTTTCCAGTCTTCAACTGTCCAATTTTGATGAGCTCTTGCAAATTGTAGCCTCTTTTTCCTATTTGTAGTGGAGATGAGTGGTACCCGGTGGGGTCTTCTGCTGTTGTAGCCCATCCGCCTCAAGGTTGTGTGTGTTGTGGCTTCACAAATGCTTTGCTGCATACCTCGGTTGTAACGAGTGGTTATTTCAGTCAAAGTTGCTCTTCTATCAGCTTGAATCAGTCGGCCCATTCTCCTCTGACCTCTGGCATCAACAAGGCATTTTCGCCCACAGGACTGCCGCATACTGGATGTTTTTCCCTTTTCACACCATTCTTTGTAAACCCTAGAAATGGTTGTGCGTGAAAATCCCAGTAACTGAGCAGATTGTGAATACTCAGACCGGCCCGTCTGGCACCAACAACCATGCCACGCTCAAAATTGCTTAAATCACCTTTCTTTCCCATTCTGACATTCAGTTTGGAGTTCAGGAGATTGTCTTGACCAGGACCACACCCCTAAATGCATTGAAGCAACTGCCATGTGATTGGTTGATTAGATAATTGCATTAATGAGAAATTGAACAGGTGTTCCTAATAATCCTTTAGGTGAGTGTATAAACACTGATGTCTACTGTAGCGATCGAAACGGAGTAAATCACCTTTTGAACTTAACTTGGTGCTTCAAATAGATATTGTGCTACAGCTTTACACCAGTAGATGCGACGAGATTACATTTATTTGTCATTGAATCATTCAAATCATTTAAGAGATTCATTCAAAAACGCTGATTCATCCAGTAATGAAACAAGTGAAGTATTTATGAGTGACTATATATATACAAATATATATATATAATCTTTTAAATAGACTGCAGCAATTAACATTTGTCCATAACCTCTAGTAAACTACACGTTATTTTGTTTAGTAGTTTATTCAGAATCATGATCTATTTTAAACCAACCAAAACATTTGTAATTCTTAATTGATCCAGAATCGTGCAGCTCTAATTCACAGTATATAAATGAAGATCATTTTGAGTTTATCTTGATTGTTCCCATATTCCAGAAATCTGTGGATATTTGTTTCGAAATTCACTGAGTTTGATGCCAGGAAACTGCATAAACTGTATAAGCACGCCATTAAGAAACGGCAGGAAAATGCTCAGGTATGAACACAACATCTTTGATAATTCACTCATGTTTGAATGTTTTTTGCTGAATGGGTGTCATATGCTGTAATGCTTATCATAGATGATGTCATTATCTTCGTAGTCTTCGGATTGAAGTTGATGGTTGTTTGATTTCAGGCAGTGGAACAGAACACTAGCACTGTAAATACACAAAGCTTTAAACACGCAGGTATGTCTATTCATTTGACAGTCTTTTAAACGGGATGTGTGACTACTTCTGTTGCGTAAGTTAACTGGCATCCGCTCTCTGTGACGCTGCGTGCGCTGTTGCAGATGTCGAGCGCATCAAGGAGTCGCAGCAGGACGACAGCAGCAGAGACAGCTACAGCTCTGACAGACACCACTCGTCCCGCTACCATGAGCACAGCAAAGAGCGCCACCCTGCAGACCTGTACCGCAAGAGCTCGGACTCCCGCAAGAGGCCCTACTCCTCCTTCAGCAACGGCAAAGACCACCGCGAGCGGGAGCCGTACGCAGACAGAGCAGAGCGGCAGGACAGCAGGTCAGGGGACAAGCGTTTGTTTGCAGATGTGTCTTTCTCCATGCTGTGAACGGGGTGATTGATGAGAGAGCCCTGTACATGACGTGTGTATCATGGCCACAACTGAAGAATCGCATGACTTAACCTGTTCCTTCATTTTAGGTACATCTTAAAATGGGGTCAAATTAAAAGGATGGAACGAATTAGTTCAATGTGGCCATGATTTACTTAAAGGGTACATGACACACACATCTAATCATCTAATAATCCTGAGTGCCTGTAGAGTATTGCATCCCAGTAGCGGTTTTAGGCACGGGCGAACCGGGCAGTCGCCCGGGGCGGCATTTTTTCATGTCACATGGGGGGCGGCACGAGCAGTTAAAAAAAATCCTCTGCGCCGCGAAGGTTTTCTATTTTCTATCATTTCAATTCAATTATTGGCAATGGCGCCCCTGCTTGCTGAGAAGGTGCCGTGCACAGAAGCTATGTCAAGGGGGTCTCCAGGTTGGAGGTAACTCACCAAGGGGCCGTTCACATATCGCGTCTTTTGCGCTCGAGGTCGTTATTTCAAATGTAGGCGCACGGGGAAGCGCGCTCATAATTGAAGCGACGCGCTCATTTTTTCCAGGAGCAGCGAGATGAACATTTTTAATCTTTTCAGTATGGGGGTGCACCCAAACACGTGGGTGTTTTTCTCTTCTCCGTAAATAAATCTTTTAGCAGAGCTACAGCAAGCGTTTTTCTGTGGTGGAAATCCATTAACTACTAAAACTTCTTTGTCGTTGTAGAGAGCGCAGGGCATGGTTGTATAGCAACGACAGCCATGGGAAAATCGGACCGAATTTTACTATTAATAATAAAAAATAAGCTACTGTGCATTATAAATGTCAGGAATTTATTTTTATTGACCCATTCTTTTTATAAAGATGATTTAAAGGCTGAAATATGTGAGGTTTATCTTTTTATAAAAACCTTTTTTGTCAAAAGTTTATTTGAACGTGTGCATGTTAGTAGATAACATAAAAGACACTCCTTTAAAATTTGGCCATCATCTTTAATGTTATTAACTTGGTGAATAGATTTCATTGTGTATTAGGCCTACTTTTTGAACAAGATTCTGTGTTTAACCGTGATCATTTTGGTCACTATATTCATGAAATGAAAATAATTTTCATAATGATCAACTAAAATCAACTATAATTATGTGTTTTTACAGTAGCCTATAATATGCAAAGTACAATTTTCTATTAAAAAATAATCTCTGATTCTGTCCTTTTCTCTGACATTTAAGGCCTAAGCTATTTTAGGTCTAAAACAGTTTGGATAGTTGTTAATATTAGGGGGGGGGGCACTCGAAGGGGGTCTCGCCCAGGGTGTAATTCAATGTAGAACCGCCACTGTTGCATCCTTCATATCTCTGAAGAGTCTTTAGTTTTATCAGACTTTTAAAAGACAGTTACAGCTGTACCGATTCTCCCTGAAAACAGTCGCGCTCCTGGAGGCGAGCCGTGGGCGGAGCTGAAGTCACGCACAATACATCATCGCATCATCACTGGATAACTTAACATGAACGTATAGTGAATGAGGTTTACATTATATGCACTTGCGCCTCGATTGCTAACAAAACAGACATTTGATGCAGTTTTACTCACTGCCTGCGGTGCCGACTCGTGACCGGGATCTCCATCTTTCAGTTTCGTTGAACTGAGCCGTGCTAATAAAACATTAATCACTGAAATGCCAGGAACAAACACACTAGCACAACTCCGTTGCTGCCCCGGAAAAACACACTGCATCCACTCTTCCCTTAACGCTGGGTTCTTTGGGAAGCTGAACAAGGTTATCTTTCCCTCGCAAACAAAAACTCACTGATTTCGTGGGCTAAAAAGAAAGCGCTTCTGACCCGAACGAGGCACACTGATGTGGATGCTGCTTTTGCTATCGCTCTGGTTGTGCGTGCTCTTCCGGGAGAAGTGTCCATACAAGGAATTCCTCCCGTTATGACATCATACAGGGCCATACTTGGGGGGGAAAAAACCTTTCCGAAACCTGAAGGAGTGCATTTGGCACAGAAATACTCGGTCATACGTCCAACTTGTTTTTTGCAACTTTGTTAGAGAGTTGGATTCTCATGCTAAACATGGAGCGTGTGAATAAGCCAGAATGCATGAAATCGCATAAGACATCCTCTTTAAAACGATCACATACTTGAGTTGACAGCCTTGAAGTGAGAGAGCCACTGGTGTAGATGACTGACCCATATATAAACGCGCCGTTTGTTTTATTATCTGCATCAGGCGATTCGTTTTTCTGTTTGGCTGATGTGCTGGAAGTGAAACTTTTATTTTGACACTGCTTTTACAGATTATTTTTTCATATTACTGTACGTTCACACCGCCGCCGACTTGAGCGTCACAGAAGCTCTGGCCGCCCTGTCAAGGACGCTTGTCTAAAAGTACGGGGAAGCTTGTTGACGCTTTGAACGCTCTGACGTAGCAGGGAGAAGAGAAGTGTCACAACATGAAATGTAATAAACATAAAAATACTGTCATTATAAAAGGTTTCTTCAATGTATTGCCTGTTTTTTCTAACCGTTTTGGTCACATTTGGTCGGGAAAAAAAGAATAGTTAGCTATTATTATTATTTGCATTAGGCTATATATGCATTTGTCAAATCAGTGTCACCGTGAGCAAATGATTTGCATTCCCGCTTTAAAACGAGCGTTTGTAAATATTTCAAATAAAAGTTGCGCTCTCACGGTCCCTATAAGCAAACAAAGTCATGTCATAAATGATAGGAAACCCAGCAACGGCGATTATTAGCTTCTCTTCCATTTTCTCGGAACTAATGTTTTGGTAGGAACTAAAGTTTACATCGTATGTTTCTCCGGAATCAGCCAGCGCGAAGGACGTCTATATTCCGATTGGTTGCTGGCGTTTTGCCGCTGAACCGTGTCACAGCTCATTACCATGAACTTGAGCTTCTTTCAACTTTCTGATTGACGCTCAACACGCCCAAAACGCAACGCCGATGGATTTGATGCTCCTTGCAGCTGAGAAAAGCCAGCTTCCATTGAAAATGAATGACTTCCGGCCGCTTTGGAAGCTCAAGTCGGCGGCGGTGTGAACGTACAGCTATTCATTTTCAAATAATTTCTAATTTAGTAAATATTTAGTCAAATAAATATTTTATTTCAGCAGCAATTGTTATGTGTTTTTAATATCTTTAAATTAGTGTGAGAATTTCTGGTTGTTTAGTGTTCTCAGTAAAAGGTCTCATCATCATCATGCTGATATGATAACGTGTGTGTGTGTGTGTGTGTGGTTCTGCAGATACTACAGCGACAGCAAGCACCGGAAGCTGGACGAGCACCGCTCCAGCCGAGAGCACCGATCCGAGAGCAACTCCAAGGACCGAACGCACTCCGACCACCGCTTCCACTCTGAGCACCGGCCCGGCTCCGACTACACGCATCACAAATCCTCCCGGGAGTACCGCTACCACTCGGACTGGCAGACGGAGCACCGGAGCGGCCCGCGCTCGCCCCGGGACCAGCGCTCGCCCTTCGAGTACTCGTCCGACCACAAGAGCACACCCGAACAGGTCTGGAGCGGCCGCAAGACATAGCGCTCTCAACACAGCGTTCCTGATCAGCCATACACACACTCACACACACTCACACACACACACAGGAAATGCCTTAGGGGACTGTTGGCCGCTGGGACTCTGGGAGTGCCGCCCTTTCCTACTCACCTCGGAGGACATACAGATTTACACTTATTTTTGTATTTAAGAGTTGGCTGCATTCTTTCGTAGGTGCTGCAGAGTAATTTTTTTTAATTATTATTTTTATAAATTGACTACTTTCCTTTTTTGTTTTTGTTTGTTTTTACTTTGAAACAGACGAGTCCATGTTTCACTCTCGTGTGCGACACTGGATCCCGACACACACCCGTAAATGACCGCAGCTTATTTAAGAAGTGTTGAGTGAACGGACGCCACACCGGCGTGTCGTCTTTATCAAGGGTTTCTGTTCTGAAGGACTGGGGTTCACCTTCCAAAGTACCTCGTTTACAGTGTTTTGTGACCATTTTGCCAATTTTTATCTGTAATTTTTCTTTCCATCATGCTTGAATTATTTAAATCTGTCTCGGCTGTAAAATAATCTGGACTATTTTTAGTGCGCATCAGATAATGTCACTTTTTCACATTGTACTACTGTAAATTATTGTATAAAGTAAATCAAATGGGCTTTTCTCAGGCTGGTATTTTTTTAACTATTTCCCCATCGACTCAGGCTATTTTCTCTCCTCCTTTGTTTTGTTTCTTGACGTTTTTATATCTCAGTAGTTTGAATCATGAAATGGGGTAAATATTCCATGTGTATTCATTCTGTAGGAACGTTTTGTTTGTTGATCTCTATTTGTAAGTGAATTAGCCTCACTTTATAATGGCATAAAATACAAACTGTGTAATAAAAAAAGGACATGAAAGGGTCGATCATAGCTAGAGGCACTTATGAGCTCTCGTTAGAACATTTCCATGATAATCTTTCCTCTTGTTTTCTATAAATGTTGGCAATAATGTACTCTTTTCTATGCAGCCCGAGTGTTTTTCTGCTGACTGGCCCGAGTAAGTCAGAATGCTGTTACAGGACATACTGATGTATATAGATCTCCTTCTATATTTCAAATCCAAATTTACACTGAAAATGCATGGATTTTTAAAGTAATTGTTTTATAGAATTGTTTATAAAGTCATTAAACTCAAATCACTGTTTTCACCTGTAATCTGGCTTTAATGTAATTTAGTGTGATTTCTAGTAGTTCTCATGGTCATTTCTCAGAATAGCTTTGGGAGGATATGAAGTTGCATTGTTCTTCAGAAGCGTTTGACATTGAGGTTGGCTGCTATTCGTCTATGAATGCACTTTTTAAAATGGGTTGGTTTGTGGGTAAACTGTTTGGCCTGGGGCCGGTTGCATAAACTGCTAAGACTAGTCTTACAAGTTAGTCGTCCATTTAAAAAAAAAGACTTCATAACTTTTGAACTCTGTTACATAAAAAAACTATTTGCCTAATAACTGCTAGTTGGTCATTTTAATTCTTAAGATAGTCTTACCATAATGGCTATATTTATGCAACTGGCCCCTGGTTTCACAGACCAGGTTTAGATTAAGCCTTAGGACATTTAAGTATCTTTTATAAACATGCCTTAGAAAAACACACCACTGATGTGCATCTCGAGACAAAACAACAGCGCTGATATTAAGATATCTCAGTGTAACTTTAGCTGGAAATGACATTATTCAACAAATCGCTATAAAGCCACAGACTGATCTCATGAAATGGCGTATGTATGACACGCCAATTCGTATTTCCATTTTTGGCGTGCTATCAACACGCATAATCGCTTTTCAGCGTGTTTATCAACGCCTTTGACTTAACGTTATATTACTGCATTATGTATATATAAATATATGACCTACCCCAACCCCGTCCCTAAACCTACCCGTCACTGGGGTTAATACCATTTATGAGTCTTCTCCTACCATCCTAGGAAAAGAAATATCGCTCCACAGATGTAGATTGACTGATTTTGCTTCGTTTCGCTCGGACATTTAACGGCGTAGACATACACGCGGAATCACTCGGACGTTTAATGGCGTAGACATACACGCAAAAGATTTCGGCGTGGACATACACGCGGATACCTCAAAATGCGTATAGATAACACGCCACTTGAATTGAAAGTGGCGTGTATGTTTACGCAAAGTCATGATGTCATGTTGCAGACAAGCCAAAACAATCTCTGTTACCGTAAATTGTATGTTTATCTCTGTAAAGCTGTTTTGAAACAATCTCCATTGTTAAAAGCGCTATATAAATGATGACTTTTGCTTTCAGTTAAAACGGCTCAAACATGCATTTCAGTCTGAGACTAGCGTAAGCCTCGTCTGTGAAACCGGGGGTACGTGTTTATATTTGTGAGGTTTGGCATCAGAGTAAACTCGTATGTGTTGCTCGTCACCTCAACATGATGAAATTGAGTAGAAGCCGTCCAATCAGATTAGATTTGGGCTGCGTCTGAAATCACACACTCTCGAGTAGGTACTTATCTTAAAAATACTAAAAAAAGTATGTTCCACATAGTATGAATGTAATCTGGCTGCACTACACTAACCATGTGACCTACCAGAGTCAGTTGTGTCACTTACTGTCAATCAGAAATCCTCTCCTGTGGCCTCATGGGACAGTAAAGTGTCCATCGTATACTTCAGAATCTCCCCAGAAGGTCATCTTTAATGAGTACTGTGAATTCAGACATCTTTTGCCACACACTGTGTGTGATTTCAGACGCAGCCCTGGTTTGTCAGCGATGTATTGTCACACTTTGACCCTGGCTGTGTGATGCGTGTGAACTACAGCGAGCAGCATGAAGCTTGCTCTCACCAACTCTGTATTGGCTTTCGTACTGGAGTACTCTCAGTGATGTGCTGTGTGTGCAGTGAAGACTCTGCTTTAACACCGGCAAACCACAGCATGCTGCTAAAGGAAGAAGAAAGGAAGCAGCGTACATGTCACAATCAGTTGTGGATTTCAATGGTTTAATTGATGTCAAATGCATGATTCATATGTTTACAGTTCCACTGATATCCTCAGAATAGACATTTTCTACAAACAGAAAACCTTATCACACATAAATACATCTTAGAATGAATATGTTAAATAAGATGCAAGATAAACCTATTTGAAGACCTATCATTTGATGACCTATATAGAAGCCAAGGACGTCTACAGGAAAGATAAGGATGTTTACTGAGACTGAAGCATTGCGGGGGGAGCGTCACTCGATTTCACTAACATGATTCATGATAAATGCCTTACCTGCTTAACCATAACCATCTGAACTCGGGAGTGATGTCATCTAATATGGCTACCACAGTATAAAGACAGTAACAATAATCAGCCCACTTCCAGTTTCCAAAAATTAAAAATAAGAGCATATAAAGGCAACATTTATTCAGGCAGGTGTCATCCCAGTTGAAATGGCTGTGGCTTTTAGTACTTCTTTTTCTCCTCAAAAATAAGGTTGGCAGTGGCTTTCTTGGCTGGTGACAGAGAGAAGAAGATCGGATTAGCAATCACTGCTTTTACACATGCTAGTCATTCAGAGTTTGGACATACTATATCAGTCAAATCATTGATGAAACATCAGCGTCTTTATGATGATTTATCTGCTATTCCTCAAATCAGAAACAAACTCTACTGGCTAAACACATGAATTGCATCTGGTTTTCACCTTCTTCTTTAAACTTGTCCGCAGCCTCTGATGCTTTATCCTTGACGTCTTTGATCACATTGTCAATCTTGTCTTTGTGCTTAAAGAAGAAGGGGTGGATGATATTATTGTAGAGCAGAACGGAGCCGTTGGAGGGAGTGGGAGCCATGCACCAGACCAAGAACACACACTAGAGAGACCAGAACACACACATTACATTACTCTCCTCCACATCAGAAAACACTACGCCGCAGTAACCAGACTTCTGTGGTCCATTCACACAGATGCTTTTGTACCTGAATACTGTGTTTTGATGATACAAGTGTTCTTTTAGGGATCAAGCACACAGCTAAACACGTTTGGACTGTATCACCGTGCCTTATATCATTGAAACTGGTGTCGAAACTTATCAAGATCAGGTTGAATTGTTATTCAGCTGGTCATGACGAGCTATTAGGGGTGTAGCGATGCCCTCATGTCATGATTCGATACAGATCACGAAACCATATTATTGCGATACTCCAAGACACATGATAAAAGGTTAACAATAAATGCACTGTTGATTAAGATGCTAAATTTGGTGTTACATTGTGTGTGTAAATGAATAGGATGGACTTGGTGCTAAACCCAAAGCACAGGACAATAGAGACACCAGAATAACAATATTCATGATTCTGGAGCTGAAAATACTGAATTATTGTAGATGAATATGCTTGTTTTCTGTCACTGACTAGATATATTTATAATAATGTAGGACACTTTTACTGGTAACATCAGACATTTGGCATCATCAGGACACACAAATATTCCCCCATTGCATTATTATACATTATATTCAACATTAAAGTAGTTTAATGTAGTACTGACACTAAAACCCTGAAAACGTGAATATTTTCCTTACACAGACATTTTCATTTTGCGTGAACTATACAGAATACATATTGTCATCATCCACGATACATATTTTTCCATTTTTGTATTGCGATATATAGTTACACCCCTACTAGCTAATGTGATATTTTCAGTACATCTAGGCCTAAATATTTCAATCTGAAGACGTACAACAAGTTTGCCCATAACAATCAAAAGCATAAAAAACATGCCAAAGCAATAATGTCACTGATGATCCAAAAACTAAGCACAACTTTCCCAGGACTATTATTAGTCAAATATAGGAATAGGAAAAGATATAAATAGGTTAATAGGCAGCTTCTGGCAGAGGAATCGGGCTGGAGCTCAACAGTGCTAGCCTGTAAACTCACACCAGTTCAGACACTGCCTTTCCTCTTATAACTGCATGAGTTATTCTCTTATTATAACTTCTGTAGCCTGTGCACCATTTGGTCTAGAGAAACAAAATACTTTTTTGAATCTTAAGTGTACTTGTAAATTAGTTAAATTTTGGCATTGGACGCCATCTTGGTATTTGTTGTGCAGGAGCGTGTGCTTTAACACGAGTCAAAGACTTCTCCCTCTCAGCCTCTCTTCATACTGGCCTCAACTACTCCACTGGTCTTCTGCGTTCATGAGACTCGCAAGAACGCCACGTGAAATGCACTTTGTGTACTAGGACCGCCTTGAAAACGAGATGATTCGTCTCAAGGGGTTTATCCCAAAGAATCAAAACAAAAGCCTGTACAAAAGCTCAGCAGAAACCTGTGATAAATCTAAATCAGCAACTGATGTGACAGGACTACAGGTTCTCATTACACAAGAAACACATGAATTGTAGCTAACAACATCATCATCATGCGCTGTCCAATACCTTTGCCAAGAAGTAGAAGGGGAACCAGGAGAAGAAGATGTCGGCGAAGAACTCGGCGACGCTGAACACACCGTACACCACCCAGTAGGTCAGCCACTTGGTGTCGTCTTCTTTATTGTCGCTCTCGATGGCTTTGATTCTGCGGACACATCAACAGTCACACACACAGTCGGACGAGAGAGGTTTGGTCTACTGATGTCAGATAACAGGCAGAGCAGAAGGGATCTGATCGTTCACAGCATCGGTCTTGGGTTCGAGGGAAGACCAGTGAAACTCATAACTGCTATTTTAACCCTGTAAAGCCTGAGATATGAGATCATAGTCAGTTTTCTGTTTTTTGTTGAACCTTTAGACAAAAAAGAACTCAGTTTATTATCAAATTTGACACATCAGGCATTTATGGCTCATATACACTCACCTAAAGGATTATTACGAACACCTGTTCAATTTCTCATTAATGCAATTATCTAATCAACCAATCACATGGCAGTTGCTTCAATGCATTTAGGGGTGTGGTCCTGGTCAAGACAATCTCCTGAACTCCAAACTGAATGTCAGAATGGGAAAGAAAGGTGATTTAAGCAATTTTGAGCGTGGCATGGTTGTTGGTGCCAGACGGGCCGGTCTGAGTATTTCACAATCTGCTCAGTTACTGGGATTTTCACACACAACCATTTCTAGGGTTTACAAAGAATGGTGTGAAAAGGGAAAAACATCCAGTATGCGGCAGTCCTGTGGGCGAAAATGCCTTGTTGATGCTAGAGGTCAGAGGAGAATGGGCCGACTGATTCAAGCTGATAGAAGGGCAACAGTGACTGAAATAACCACTCGTTACAACCGAGGTATGCAGCAAAGCATTTGTGAAGCCACAACACGCACAACCTTGAGGCGGATGGGCTACAACAGCAGAAGACTCCACCGGGTACCACTCATCTCCACTACAAATAGGAAAAAGAGGCTACAATTTGCAAGAGCTCACCAAAATTGGACAGTTGAAGACTGGAAAAATGTTGCCTGGTCTGATGAGTCTCGATTTCTGTTGAGACATTCAGATGTTAGAGTCAGAATTTGGTGTAAACAGAATGAGAACATGGAACCATCATGCCTTGTTACCACTGTGCAGGCTGGTGGTGGTGGTGTAATGGGTGGGGGATGTTTTCTTGGCACACTTTAGGCCCTTAGTGCCAATTGGGCATCGTTTAAATGCCACGGCCTACCTGAGCATTGTTTCTGACCATGTCCATATCCCTTTATGGCCACCATGTACCCATCCTCTGATGGCTACTTCCAGCAGGATAATGCACCATGTCACAAAGCTCGAATCATTTCAAATTGGTTTCTTGAACATGACAATGAGTTCACTGTACTAAAATGGCCCCCACAGTCACCAGATCTCAACCCAATAGAGCATCTTTGGGATGTGGTGGAACGGGAGCTTCGTGCCCTGGATGTGCATCCCACAAATCTCCATCAACTGCAAGATGCTATCCTATCAATATAGGCCAACATTTCTAAAGAATGCTTTCAGCACCTTGTTGAATCAATGCCACGTAGAATTAAGGCAGTTCTGAAGGCGAAAGGGGGTCAAACACAGTATTAGTATGGTGTTCCTAATAATCCTTTAGGTGAGTGTAGTATGATAACGTGAGAATATGGAGCTCGAGGAAGAAAAAAATATTCAGAGGAACAAACTGAGCAAAAATATGCAATTTAGTGCAGATGGTGATATTTATTAGCCTGATGTCGTCATACTCAGACTCTAGTCAGCATGTGAGTCTGATTCTGCTCCATTGGGCTGTGATTATGGGGCGTGTTTCAACCCAACCAGGAAAGAAAATTCCTCTGCACTCAATTGGATCGCCAAATGCCCTGATCGCGGTTCTCTGTTCCTTTTTTAAAATAAATTAAATGCATCTTCTATAACAGACGCAATGGTAGAATATACACATCTAAATTCTCCAGTGGCGGCCATCTTTGTTGTAAATGAATTCAACCCAATCGCTCTTTGGTGACGTGATGATTACGGTATGGTTGATCATCTGTCCATAATCGTATAAAGCCCGCCCGGACACTTTGATTGGTCCGAACAGCTCTGGTTCGGGCATACTTGCTTCTCAACGGATCAAGTCCAGACCGAACTTCCCATCCTCTAATGTTGTGGGCGGGGCTAAGCTCGGCCGGCATCCAGGCTACATATTTGTGTTCACAAAGATGAAATTCTGATGCTGGTAATGTGATGAGATCTTAACAGTATAACAGAATACTGACATACAAGCATATAAATATTAATCACTCTATATCTGCCAATAATATGTCTTAGTTAGATGATATTTCAATGCTTAGTTTTATGCTCAAAGCTCTGTAGTTTTAAAACGTATAATGCAATGCAACACAATGATGATTGAGAGATGAACAGATAAACCTTCCTCAAAAGCCTGATGATCATATTTGAGACTCATGCTTTTACTATAAAATGATAATCAAGTAAACCGAAGTTGCTTCAGTCCAGTTAATGTTAATTTTGAAATTTTACTTACAATTTAAAAGTTATTATTGCGTTAACTTGATAAAATCAGGTCAGATTTGACAGCAGAAAGACATGAAGGAGGAGCTACCAATCAGACGACAGAGGGAATGTAGAGGATTGAGTGAAACAGGCTTTTCAGCAAGGGTTTGATGGTTTAGAGACGTGCGTGTCGAACACGCTACACAGGCTTCATTGAGGTTAGAGGAACTGAGTCACAAGGCCTTCTGTGGTCTAGCGTGTTCAACCCGAACTGCTTATCGCACCATGATCACACAAGATCACCAATAATCCTGTTTACAAATACACTCATAACATTGTGTTTAATGGATTGAATGTTCTAATCTTTGAAAGGTGTACTTCCTTGAATCTGCACTGAATGCTACGGTGTTTAAGTGTGCCCTGAAAAGCATGTTGTATACCACCCCATAAAATCACTTTTATTTGTTCTCAGATTGAGTTTTATTTTCTTCCAAAAAATTATTTTTTCCATTTAAATTTTTTGGACTCCATTTTAACGGTTTGATAACAGTTTAGTAATCAAGAAACATGTCTAATTAATTGAAATCATGAAACTTATACAATGTAACAATTTATTAAAAGTTAAACAAAAATGACATGTTTAGGCCCCTATGAAATGTGTTTCTCAAATTCAGTTTTATTTTATACCAAATTTTGTGTTTTCTGGATTCCATTTTAATGGTTTAATACAATTTTTGTAATCAAAAAGCATGTCTAATTAATTGAAAGAAAAATATTTTTTAATTTTATTTTTCATTTCTATTTTGTTTTATTTGTCTGGCAAACAAATGAAGGCATACAACATTAATTTAATTTAGATTTTAATCATCTAAAATACAAACTAATAAGTGCTGCACAGCAGAGCTCTACTGCTAAAATTAAAACATGGAATACAAATGTTGATTATTAGTTTTAATAATATTATTATATTACTACATAGATAAATTCTACTGTACAGCAGTAATATATTTATTTAATATAATTTAGTAATATATAATCACAAACGGTAGCCATTGACTTCCATAGTGGTGAAAATATACAATGGAAGTCAATGGGGTCCATCAACTGTTGGGTTACCAGCAGCATTCTTCAAAATATCTTCTTTTGTGTTCAATAGAAGAAAGAAATGTACACAGGATTGGAACAACATGAGGGTGAGTAAATTATGACAATTTTAATTTTTAGGTGAACTATCCCTTTAACATAAAATTTGACATGTGAGAAGTGTAGGCCTAATAAGCAATATCTTCTGCCTACTCCTTTTTGGTCACAGTAACATGACTGTTTAAATTATTTAAGCATGACTACAGATGTACCTAAAGATAAATCACAGTTGTAATCATATATTCGACGATAAACATACGGTTTTGAAGGAAATGTACATGTTTCGCCGTGTACACTTCCTGCTGCGCACTAAAGAGTGCGCGCCGCTGCGATGACGTCAGCGGTCTGTAACCGCGACGTCGATGACGCAACCACCCGCGGCGTGACGCCAGAATGAACAGACAGAAAGATCGATTACAGTTTTAACTCACGATATATACGAAGGATAGACGAATCCAATGAGATTGCAAAGAAGAGAAGCGCCGTATCCGATCACCAGATAAACTGCAAGGAGCGCGATGACAGCTGCAAGACAAAAGACAACATCAGCCTACTATCACTCTGATCCATTACGTAAAAGCCTATTCTTGGTGAAACACAAACAGCATTGAAGCTACAGAGTAAACCGTTGAAGCGGTTGTTTTTCTCCTGATCTGACGTGTCCGACATGACACATGTGTTCCTGGTTAATGCTCACCAAAAGCGATGTAGGACCTGTTCACGCCAGTCCTCGCCTCTATCTTCGACAGCACGTCCGTCATGACATTCTTCTCCCGGAGGAACTTGTCGAAACGCTCTTTTAGCGCGAACGCCATGATTTGTCTGGATTGGTGATTGTTGAATATAGTATGAACAGCAGCTCAACTCCTGCTGTTCTCAGTTCAGTGTGTGACTTGCACGCCGAGGGTGTGACGTCACGACGGCACTTCCGCGACCACACCCTTCATATAACGGTGTAAAATGACAGTTGTAAGGAAGAAAGCCCTGTTAATGTAAAATTAAATGAGTATTACACTGAAATTATGTGTAAAGATACATTCATGATGGCGTTGACTGCATGAAAGGGGAGGTCGAATACATAAAATATATCCTTTTCACAATTTAGACAGGTCTTTAACTACATTTATAGCGTGCATGATCGCTGTAATACATCTTCTTCGCACACAAACTGCGTCCAATGAACTTCTTCGTGATTGGCTTCTTGATGATGTCAATCGTGTAGAAGAGTGACTGTGATTGGTCAGGAGTTTCCGTTCACGGGCTTCTGACTCCGCCTCCTGAACGCAAGAGTTGTTCATGAATTTGTATTTTTAGCTAGTTAGCATGTTAGCATCAGTGTCGTCGTTATAAATTCACAACACTTCTTGCCCTTTTATGGGTAGTGTTTGAATAGTACAGAACCATGTTATTTAGACACATATTATAAACGTGAAGCACGCAAGTGTAGTGCCTTTGCGCTGTTTTTAACGCACTAGTTTTGCTTGTTCGGGATGTTTTTACCCTTAACATGGAGACAAAAAGATGGGAGATTCCTAACGGCTTACTGGATGACCTTTGCAGGTAAACCGAGAACTTATATTCACACCATACGGTGTGTTTAAAAGTACATGTACGTTTAACATGGACTTATATCAGTTTTTGAGCGGTCGAAAAGCAGTCTTTGTTACGCGGCCATGGACTCAGCGCTGTTTGATTGTATTATAAAGGCTGTGTTGAAACCGCTATTAAACTCCTGTGGTAAGCAGTGTTCGGGGTGTCATGGGCACCCCCGACCCGAGTGCAGTTTTGTCCGTCGAGTGTGTGTGTGAGTCTGCAGCGCATATTTGTGTTTCGCATGCGCGCTCCAGTCAGGTCTGGGCGCGTGCCAGGTCAGCGGTGTTTTGACTCCGAATGCGAGTAACAACAACAGTTTCAAAAGTCTGATGAAGAGGATCCTAATAGTTATTGTTGCTGATATTTGCAAAAAAAATAACCAAATGGTCAATTTACTGACTACGTAGAACTACTTCCGTGTTCGGTTCTAATTGATACAACAACAAACAAACAAAAACTTGTTTCAACCGCGTTTCCGGTAACGACATTCAAAATATATCAATTATTTATTAATAGTAATGATTGATTATTATTGATATTATTAATTGTGTAGTCTCATTGAATGAGGGGAAATAATGTTTTCCCTCTGGTTTGTCACATGCTAGTGAAAGGTAGATCATGAGAGTGCAGATTATTATTACTTTTTTATAGTCGGCATGAAACGGAGGTTGCGATTGTCCCTATATCGTGACGTATATCCTTCTTGAACAGGAGCAAATGTAGGGCGGGAATTGATTGGATGGTGTGGTTTGTTTGTGGATCTCATGTGATACCAGTAAACCCAGTAAACACATCATCAGAGAAGAGAAGTGATGAAAGAGAATGAAAATTCTGCCATTTACTCGCGCTCAAGTTGTTTCAAACCTGTATTTTTTCTTCTGTTGATCACAAAAGTAGATATTTTGAAGAATATGGGTAACCAAACAGGCCCAAGACCCCGTTGACTTCCATAGTATTTTTTTTTCCTACAATGGAAGTCAATGGGGTACATCAATGTGCTACCCATATTCTTCAAAATATCTTATTTTGTGTTCAGTAGAGAAGAAAGAAATGTATACAGGCTTGGAACAACATGAGTGTGAGTAAACGACAGAATTTTAATTTTTAAAGTGAACTATCGCTTTAATGCTGCCTTCATGTGCATCGAAAATGTCTGAAGTCGTCATTACGAGCTTGTTGCATTCAAGTGTTATCGGAAAGAACGGGAATCATGGAGGACGCCTGGTTTATTCTTGCCTATTTTTGGGTAAATCTTATTAAAGCCAAAATGATATTTAGTGTCCCATTAACTGACAACAACATTCATATTTACCATGCTTATCTAGATCAGTGGTCTCGAACTCAATTCCTTGAGAGCCACAGCTCTGCAGAGTTTAGCTCCAGCTCACACCTCAGAAGATTCAAGACCTTGGTTAGCTGCATCAGGTGTGTTGGATTAAGGTTGGAGCAAAACTGTGCAAAGTGTGGCTCTCCAGGAATTGAGTTTGAGACCACTGATCTAGATAGTATTGTGGATAATTGTGGAATTTTTGTCAAATACAGACCATTTTCACTGTACAAAATGCTTCAAAATTTGAAGTGAAAAATAGCCTGTATTTGACCACTTCAATAATCATTTGAAGATCAAATGATTATTCTTGTGTAAACATGCATTACTAATAATTACAAGACAAGGCGATGTAGCTGTTGTGAAAAACCTAATAAAGAATAGCAGTCACAGCAATCCTTCTCCCCGCCGCCTTGTTTAAAGTTTGTGGCCCGTCCAACACGAAAACTGAAGTATCAACAACACTATCCCAGAGCTTCGTGTCCAATTTTTAACTAGGAAACTCATATATAGTAGTTCCAATAGCACGTGAAGGCAGCATAAGATTCAAGATGAGCATATGAGTAAAAAATGCATAGATATGTGCATAATAAATGCTGCAATATTCCATAAAGAAATGTCGATTTTGATTTCATAGTGACTTATCTTAGCTTTAGATCTGTTAGTTCTTCAGAAAAGTATCATGCCATATTATTTAAAACTGGAAGTATGTCACAAAGCTCAGTGCAAGACAAGTAGTCCATTGTGTTGAACACATTTCATCATTAAATGTGCTGTTGGCTTCATGTTTTCAGTATTTTCGGTGCGTGTGATGATTTTGTTTTGTGTCCTGTAGTCGCTTCATTCTTCACATCCCCAGCGAGGAGAGGGACAATGCCATCAGAGTCTGCTTCCAGATCGAGCTTGCCCATTGGTTTTACCTGGACTTCTGCATGCAGAATTCACCAGGATTACCTCAGTGTGGGATAAGAGACTTTGCCAAGGCTGATATCCTAAAGTGATCTTTGTATAATGTTCCTCATGAAAGCATACTAGGGGCAGAGAGAGTACTGAGTTTGTCTGTGTTGAGTCTTAGAAAAGGGTTTTGGGCGCTACAGGAAGACTCCGTGAACATTCATTAACACACAGACCAAAGGCCTGATCACAACAAGGACGATAACTACATAATAATTGTTCTAATACCATGAGAATAGGGAAGTCCACAGCGCAGCTATAACTATAACCACAGAGAGAAGCGATATCAGTTCAATCATTTTCAGAATGATAAAAAAAAAAAACATTGACAGCCAATCAGAATCCACTTCCAAAACCCAGTCAGTCGGCTCATTTAAACGGATCATTTTCATGCGTTGGTGTGGATGCAAATATATTTATTGTTATCGTTCTTTATAGTTATCGTTCTTAGTGTGATTAGGACTTAAATGCACAATTTTCTGAAGTATTATTATCAGGCATCAGAAAACACACTGGAGATCCACAAATGCCAACACACAGATACACGTGTAGCTCATGTAAACGCAGCAGAAGTTGACCCAGAGTGCTTCACAATCCAGACAAACAAAGCTAACCGACGAGAGAGCGCATGATCTGTAGCTGGTCTAAGTCCCTGGATTCGAATCCAGCTGTGCCTCAATGGGAGGGCGTAGGTGATGCCGGAAAAGACTAGTTTTGAATGATTCACAACCACCTCCAAGGAACAAAAAGTGTCATTAAAAAAAATCCCTGCACCTCTAATGCCAAAAAAGCAGTGTCTGAATAGGACAACAGTTAGAGAATTAGAGAAGACAAACATAAATAGTGATGAAAGCTGAAATATTAAATGTTATGGATTAATATTTGTAGAGGGGGATCAAAAGACAAGTTCACCTGAGATTTAGAGCCAAATTACAGGGGTGTAAAAACGACTTCAGAAAGATGGCAGCATCATTATTTTATTTTTACATGGAGATTGTTAGTTAAATCTGTTTAATTTAGCAATCTTTCTTGCCTTATATGCCAACGTTGACCGTTCGAAAATACGTTTAAAAAGGTACGTTATACGCATGTATTTTGATTGAGGGAAACAAGATACATTTCTAGTTTCAACACTAGGTCTTTGAAAGAAGAAAAGTGTCAGCTGTATGCACTGTGACCCACATTTGGTTTTTGACCCCTGAAAATGTGTACAATTGACCAGTTTACTCATGGAGCCACATTAATATCTCTATCTCTGGGATTGAACCATATTAGGCCTTTAAAATGAAGATACCTAAAGATAAGCTTACCAAAACAAAAGAATCTGAAAGGATATTAAGATATCTGACAAGTTACAGACATGCAAACTTCAGGCAAAAAAACACTTGTGCTTAGATAGCTTAAGTCAACAGATTTAACTAACAGACCTACCAATAAATAATGATGCTGCCATCTTTTATAAAGTCCTGTAATTTGTCTCCAAATCTCAGGTGAAAAGTGTGATTTTGATCCCCTCAGCAAAATAGTGGATTACTCAGTAAATATACATTCATTTAATATTCGGCTTTCATCACTATTTATGTTTGTCTTTCTTCAGAAAAACTAAATCAAAAAAATGTGAGCCAGGGACCTCTGGTTGAGCTATATTTTAAATTATGTTTATTGTTAAATATCTGGTGAAAACAACCATGCCTACAATAGAAAGGTTTGTTTTCTACATTGTCCAAGACCAGGGCTCAGAAATGAGGATTTGCATCGTACATGATCTATAATATAACAGCGACAGGCATATTCCTTGTAAACTTGAAACTTTGTTTTTCTGTGCTATTTGGTTGTGAATTCTTCTTGTCAGCTAGTTGAAACATTGATTATGGTTTATCAATCCGATTCCAGAATTTAATAATTGATAATGATGACTATAATAATAATACCCAGTGTGTTGCGGAGGCCGTCTCAAAATCCACACGCACTCGCAGCAGAGACGCATCATTTCCTCATTCTCATGCCGTGGTGGCACTACTACTGCCTCTCATGACATTATAAACCCGTATGAGTCTTATGAGAAACATGAGAATGTTTTGGTCTATAATTAATGCAATACTTTTTAGAGAAGAGTAATTAGTTCATTGACAGCCAGTCAGAATCCACTTCCAGAACCCAGTGAATGGACAATGAAAGTAAATGTAAAAGCAGTCACTTTCAGGCAAGTCCTTTCACTTGGCGGCCATCTTTGAAATGCCCCTCGGACAGATGTTCATCTCCCTGAATGGGGAAACATCAAATTCTCCAAAGCTGTTTATCAAGCTTATGATTAAGTTTCATATTTGAAATCACCAATGAAATCTGACGACAACAAAATGGCGGATCAAGTCCCGTCTTCTTTTTGTGGTTTGTTTCTCTCTGTGTGTCTCCTTAACATTATGATCACTTTTTAATCACTGTCCATTCCTGCTGCCCCACGGAGAGGATGTTCAGAAGGTTTTAGAGCAGTGGAAAGAGTATAAGATGGGTGTGCCGACATTTGGGGCCATTATTCTTGATGAAACGCTTGACCATGTAAGTCCACAGCTGCTAGAAGCATCACTATCTATGCTACGTGATTTTGAAAGAGGGTTGCGACGACCTTCGTGTATTCATAAGAGTGCTTATTGAAGCTTTCTGTGTACCTGAAGGTGTTAATGGTCCAGGGTTATCTGGCCAAGTCTGGCTGGGGTTTTCCTAAAGGGAAAGTCAATGAAGACGAGGCTTTCCATGACTGCGCCGTGAGAGAAGTACGTCTTGTTCTTGGCTGTGAAAATACAAATGTTGGTCTGATACATTTAGAGGTCAGATGTCATCCTTGTTCTGTTTTCTCTGCAGGTTTTAGAGGAGACGGGCTTTGATATCCGAGATCGTATATGCAAAAAGACGTATATCGAGCAGAGAATTTTAGATCAGTTGGCCCGATTGTACATTATCCCGGGAGTTCCTAAAGACACCAAGTTTAACCCCAAGACCAGGAAAGAAATAAGGGTGTATATACATTTGGATGCTTTTGTTTCGCCTGAATACAAGCACGTGTGTTTAACGCATCCACTGAATCTCTCTGTTCGTTTGATTTCTGATAGAACATTGAATGGTTCCCGGTGGATAAACTGCCGTGCCACAGGAACGACATGACTCCTAAATCCAAGCTTGGACTGGCGCCCAACAAGTTTTTTATGGCTATTCCGTTTATGAGGTACTTCTTCTCCTGTTGCATCATTAATGAGCATCTGAAGTGGACCGTAGGGGTGCTGTGGCACGACTGAAGCTGTGATGTGCTGATTTGCAGGCAGCTCAGAGAGTGGATCGCCAAACACAAAGGAGAGTCGACGAGCAGCGATGAGGATTTTGCGTCCAATGGCAGCACACCATGCAAACCATTCCGGTGCGATGATTCTTGCTATAGAAGCCTTTCGCCATCATGCTTTCATGCCTGCAAAGACTTTACATTTTGCATAAAGGAGCTAATAGTGCAGTTTAATATTTTAGTGGCTGTGCAGTTAAAGAGGGACACAAGTGAAATGACTATAAATAGCTTATTTGACGATTATTTATTTGTGAAATATGTGTTAGATAACCTACTGAAGGCTCATTATCTGAGGCCCCGTCCAAACTACTGCGTTTTCGTTTAAAAACGGAGACCTTTTGCTACGTTTACACCTCCCGTCCACACTAAAACGGAAAAAACTGAGACCCAAAACGGAGAAGTTTAGAAACGCTGCCGAGCCGTTTTTCGTTTTGAATCTCCGGAGGGCGTTTTAGTGTAGACGGGTCCAAACCATAGACTGTAAAAAAAGATGGACGACGCCCCTTCGCTCTTTTCCATTGGAGAGAACTGAAGCCGCCAGTGTCCCGATATGGCGCTGACATCTTGGGACTTGAGTCTGCGCAGTAGCGTTTTCGGGACCAGTCATGCGCAGTCGTGAGCTAGAAGTAAAGCCACGAAATCAAGGCCCCGCCCTCACTCTCGCTGAATCAATCGCAAGCACACGCCCTGCAGTTTTCTTAAGTGGCCTCTGTCTGCTCCGTTCCTGTCCAATGATGTCTGCTGATTGCAGTACCTCGTTAAAATAAGGTAAATACAACCACTGACCACATAGTCAACATTATGAGAAAAAGTCCGTTAGTACTTCAGTGACTACTTCGCACAGAGAACCTGTCAATCACAGCTGTCAATCATGATGTCACAGCATGCTTTTTATAGCATCAAATAACTAACTAAAACTAACTTATCTTAAAAACAAACACTTGAAATTACATAAACGTGATAGAAACTACAGTAAATGACAGAAACTATCTTTAGAAAAAAGATATGTGAAGTGTAATTTAATTATTTAGTTGGTCTCACGTCCCGTTGAATAACATGGGGAGGCGGGGCTTATGAGCTATACCGGCCTCTGGGGGGCGATCGAGACGTTTTGGCTTCACTTTTGAGGGCTTGTGCGGCACGCTTGGTCCAAACCATAGACAGTAAAAGAAATGGACAGAGCGATCTCATTGGAACTCAGTTGAGACAGTTGAAGCCCACTTTTAGCGATTTTTGAGAACTTCCGTTCCTGACGCGCAGACTCAGACCGACTCAAACTAAGCTTGATGACGTGAGCAACCTGTCTGACAGACGTGAATCTTCTAGTAGCTGTGCGTGAAAATTGCCAACGTTAATCTTGCAGAGACGGGGAACTTGAGCAAAGAGTCCTTTATCGTGAGTGAGCAGGAGTAAGTATTCCTTTGCTTTTATGGACTCATTATCTATGGGCTTCTCCCTTGACGGGACGTCCCCCCGATTGCCTGCGAGCTTCTCCTCCTGTCTGTACGGTAATTTCTGTACAGCGCGACAGAGAGTCGAGTGGTTATGACGCAATCGTTAGCCTATTTTTACTAAAACTGTTTCTACGGGGCCATAATGTAACATAGAAGGTAATGGAGCCATTTATACATTGTCGTGTTTCTTTAGAAATAAATAATGGACAAATGGAGTCTTTAAACGCCTCAGATGTAAAGTTATTCGCTGTCAAAGTGACGCCAAAATGAATGGTAGTCAATGGAAATGCTAACGCAAGTGAAGTTCTGCTACAAGATGGCGGTACCCGGCCGGCTTCAACTTCCGGTCGATGGATTACCCCCTTGGTCCAAACGGAGGACTTTAGAAACGATGACGTAGTAGAGGCTCACGCTCGGCTCTGTGATTGGGTGTCATCAGTCATGGCGTATATCTTTGCTAGCAGCTGTTGTACAAGTAAATTCTGCATTTTACAACGCTATAACTGCCTACATGCGCCGGAGTCAAGCTATTATTCGAGCGATCTGTGACAATTCCCGTGTGCAGCGGCGGCGTTGACCGTACATGGAGCGTCGGTTTGTGGTTAACCCAGAGCATGGTGGGATCATTTTATCATTATGAAGTTGTGTTTACACCGGCACGCGCATGCCCAGTGTTGGTGAATGGTCACGTGATCCGCGTTTTCAGTCGTTTTAATGTGGACGGAGATCAATTCTAATACGCAGCTAAAACGCTGGTGTGGACGGAGATCGTATTCGTTTGAATTCTCCGTTTCTAAACTAAAACGCAGTAGTGTGGACGGGGCCTGAGGTGCGTTAAGACTGAATAGTCATTCAGAAAGCCCACTGACTTATTTTCACTGATGAAAATAATCAACTATGAAATATGTATTATCAGTGTTGGGTGTGGTTAATTACTGTACTTTAATTACTTTTCCCTTGAAAAAGTAAAGTAAGAGATTACTCTTCATTTTTCTGTAGTTATTTCTGATGTAATTGCATTAAATATAGATTAGAGAACAATTCTACATATAACAATAGTGGATTTAACATCAAAATGTAACGTCTAATGTTAAAATGTATGTTATTAATATAAACTTCTGTCTTTAAATACTTTAGTCAGTTCAAGAATAATTTATGCAATTTTATATTTTTTTATATTTATTTGCATAAATTAAACGAGCCGTTTCATGTCTATCCTTGTGTTGTTCGACTGCTCGGGGTTGAAAAGGGATTTAATAAGTGATTAGTAATAAGTAATGCAATACTTTTTTATACAGAGTAATAGGTACAGTAATCTAATTACACTGTTGAATATGTAACTTTTTTAGAGTAACTTACCCAACACTGATTATGATATGAAATTTTGAACTACATTCGCAAAAACCAAGTGTATGATTTTCTGTGGAGTTGTGATGGACTTGATGACATCGCTGTTTTCTCCAGAGCTGCTTTAGAGCTGAATTGAACTGATTTCATAATTGATGATCTTTACACAGTTATTGAACTGAACTGAATCAACACTGGACTGACTTCAGCTGATCAATGACTCTATTGTCTCTTTAGAGCTGCTTTACAGCAGAACTGAACTCTGTTTGCATCATTATTTTCCCGTTTATCCCCGTGAAGCTGCTTTGCAACAGTCTGTAATTAATAAAGCTCTATAGGAATAAAGGTGGCTTGACTTATGCTGCCGCGTGCTGCTGAATGCGCAGTCAGATGACTGTTGAAAGGATGACATGCACTAATTTTGGTGTCGCTCCTCTGCTCAGCTCAAAGCCCAGAAAATCTCAGATGTTGGTGGAAGCGTCTCCAGTATCGGCTGACAGCTGGGCAAAGCAGAAACCACAGAAAGCTGCTGGACAAACCTCCCAGAGTGAGCTTGTAGACATGCTTAAACCCAAGGTAGGTGTTCACATCATAAAATAACTCATGTGCATAAATAAAGATGCTATGATAGGTACCGGGCGGTAGGTGTGAACAGTATAACCAACTTGTATAGCACAGAGAAAATAAAGCTTATAAAGACAAAATTCTGATCTTATTCAGTTTATTGCACTTTTAATTACCCTTTTTGATATCAAGCACGTCACGCTCTTTATTTTCTCATTCATCCATGTTTTTTTTATCCCTCAGTTGTGTCTGTAACTGCATTTCTGCCCACTGAAAGCTGCACAAATATATTTACATACCGTGATATAGCAAACAATGCTGCAAAATGAGTGCATTTTCGTTATGAAATGAAATGCAATACACTTTATTTCTCAAGGACTCAAGGGGTTTACATTGACAGAATCATTGGAAGCGTAACAGACAACTAAAAACTCTACACACAAATATAAATAAATAAATACTCATTCGTCATTTAACAATTTAATTGAAAAAGGAATAAAAGACTTCTTAAAACGGTTATAACTACACATCGGAAATCTGTATCGTCTTCCAGAAGGTAATAATTCATACTCAGTGTACAGAACATGCAATGGATCAGCCACGATTGTATGTGCTTCTCTCAGAACCGATTGACTAAAGCGTTATATAAGCCATGAACCAAGCCAACCAGCTACGAGCTGAATCAAAACACTGCAAACTTTGATTTGAAAGCATTTCAAAGTTGACTTAAAGCAAAAAAAGTTCATAAAAACCGCACAAAATACAAAGGTACAATTTGAGTGATTCCAATCATATTTCAAACAGTTGCGCATCTGATGCGTCTCAGCTGAAGAAAACAATACACTATTTATCAGCTTAAATATATCGGCCTAATTTTCTTCTCATTAGAAATGAACATATATCGGCCGATACCGATATGATGCATCCCTAGTTTATAAGTTATCGTTCAAAATCCCAATGGAGAAAAGAAAAGTAGTTTTTGCTTCTGGAACCCGACCGTTGCACTCTATTGACTGACACTTTATTTTGTTGTGGCGAAATCTCATGGGCTTATGCAGTTGTTTGGAAGACATTTTCTGTATAAACATTTTTTACAGCTCAGATAAACTACTCTATTTCACAGTCACTGAGTCATCATGTGAGCCAGTTTGTTTATTATTGCTGATTCAGTGATTGGTTCTGGTGTTTCATTGCAGAATAATGTGAAAGGCAATGGCAAGAAACACCAAGAGTCTCCAACCCTGAAGAAACGAGCTAATGGTGTCAGTCAGCAGCAGGCGAGTTCCTCCATGTCGCCACACACACTATTTCTGAACGTTACAGTAATCTTTATCAGTATTGTGTAACAATATATTGTCTTGTAGAAAGATGACAAGAAACTTCAGCCAAGGCGACTGCAGGATAACTTTGACACAGGTATTTAAATAAGCCTTTTAAAACAGTGATGCAATAGGGATTAGAATTGGGGTGTTGTTATATTGCTAAATCAAACGAATTGCACTTCATCACAAGCAAAATCCTCACGCATATCCAATATGTGATTAGAACTTACGAATGTTTGAAGACTTTGTAATACACGAGAGTGAAGGTGCGGTCACGGTTGCCGTCGGCGGGTGAAATCCAGGCATTTCTGTAGAAAGATTTCCCAGAGGGTTGCAGTTGGTCACTGGGATTCGCCCGGTTGACCAGCAGAAAGCTCTCACACATCACTACACTAATGACAGTGGTCCTTTAGACTAGAAACTTTGCTAATGTGATGCGCCTTTAGGTCATTCATCAAATTTACCGCATGAATTAAAAAAGTTGTGTTAATCTGAATGTCGAACATCTACACCTGTTTTCCCAGACGCAGCTGCTGATGGCTATAATGGACAGGCAGACTTGTGTTGTGAAGAATATGAACACATCCTCTCCTCACGCTCCTTTCTCAGCTTCAAATTCGACAGGGAGGCCATCATGAAAACCTGCTTTGAGTCCTGAAGATCTGTCTCTGCTTTTTAAAAGATTTGATGCAGAAGATTTTGCTTTGGATCTTCTGCCCTGTGAAACCTGTTATTGGAGAGGCATTGTGTGTTGGACCAAGATTAAAGATATATCAAAATATTCCTTTTTACACACACTAATGTCAGTTCCTATCAATCTGGATCTGGAATGCTGTTAGCTTGAGTTCTTTGTAGACTTCATATTTTATGCTAAAACTTGTGCCCAATCATGAGGGCATCAAACATTTGTGTCTCTAAAGAAGTTGTTCTTGGTAAACTTGCTCTTAGTGATCTGTTATGAAACTGGTTTGTCTAAAACACATTTATCAATAATTTGGTTCAGAGCCCTTGAAGTACTCTTGTTTCATTGTGAACAAATGTTACAATAATAATCAGTCCAGCTGTGTGTTGAATTTCTATGGCTGAAGTCATCTCAGTATTCATTGTTTGCTGTTTTTGCTGTGTTTTTCTTACAACCTTGCAATTCTAAGAAGCTGTTCAGAAAGCATGCTTTTAGAACGTCACATGACTGGTACTGTACAGATTTCTCCTTGTGCAAAAGCAGTAAAAACCATTCAAGCACTATATACTTAAGTCCAGTCAGCAAATGTCTGCTTGACATTGATGCGTATTTGATTTTGCTTTTTGATGAATCACATTTCATCCATGTTTCCCATGTGTTCTTCTGTAGTTTAGTTTCCTGTGCCATGAAGTCTTTTTTCTGTTGGATATTTTTATTATTCTTCAACTTCTTCCCAGTTTCCCCGCCCTTCATGTTTACGATACAATATTAACATTTTCTCTATGAAATGGCACTGAAATTTGTAGTAAGTCACTTTACAATTATGCAACATGATTTGCTTAACCGCAGTATCCATGGTTTGTATTGGTTTTTTTTCTTCTCATTTTTTGGTAAATAAAGACACTTTCTTAAAGAGTGATGGTCTGTTCTGTTTTGCCTTTTACACATTCAGAAAAATATTTATTTTTCAGAGTGAAGCAAGGATTGTTTTGTGAGAAATAGTATTTCTGTCCAAATATATGTCTTTTCTAATTTTATAAAAAGGTGAGTATAGTGCAGTATTGTACACTTAGTCTACCGTTTATAGTTCATGAGATATTTCAAGTTATCAAATATGTACACCTTGCATCATAGATATTTTTTTCTTGCTGAAGCTCAAACATGCTGTTTAACATGAGAATAAACCTCATTGGTTTTTGCTGAAGCTCAAACGTGCTGCGTAATTCAAGAATGAATGCTACGAAGTTAGCGCAAAGGCGCCATCTAGTGGCCATTGGCAGATGCGCTGGAAGCGATTGCACAAGAGAAATGCGACATAAACAGCTGCGCTCTCCACAGCAAGACTGTTCCAGAAGTCGCGGTGCAGTGTTTGTGTTAAAAATTAATAACTGTGTACGTCCTTATTAGAAAAGTGAGTTTCATTTATCCCTTACTTGTTTAAGATCGATTTTATATGTGACTATCTAGGAATAATCAAGTATTTGGGTGAGAGAAATGATAAATCATGCCGTGTAGTTAGCAAAGAATTAACGTCATTGTAGAATTCTTATGAATGTTGTTTGTAACTGATTTAACATTTACATTACATTTAAATGTATTCATTTAGCAGACGCTTTTATCCAAAGCGACTTACAGATGAGAACAATAGAAGCAGTGAAACTAACATAGGACAACAATATGCAAGTGCTCTGAAACCTCTCAGTTTCATCTAACGCAGACCATAATTTTATTTTATTTTAAATAGAATAGAAGAGAAAGTGTTAGTGCTAGTGGATCAAGTGCTGCCGAAAAAGAAGCAAAGAAAACAAAATGAACCTCATTGGTTCTTGCTGAAGCTCAAATGTGCGAGAATGAACCTCATTGGTTCTTGCTGAAGCTCAAATGTGCGAGAATGAACCTCATTGGTTCTTGCTGAAGCTCAAACGTGCGAGAATGAACCTCATTGGTTCTTGCTGAAGCTCAAATGTGCGAGAATGAACCTCATTGGTTCTTGCTGAAGCTCAAATGTGCGAGAATGAACCTCATTGGTTCTTGCTGAAGCTCAAATGTGCGAGAATGAACCTCATTGGTTCTTTCTGAACCTCAAATGTGCGAGAATGAACCTCATTGGTTCTTGCTGAAGCTCAAACGTGCGAGAATGAACCTCATTGGCTCTTGCTGAAGCTCAAATGTGCGAGAATGAACCTCATTGGCTCTTGCTGAAGCTCAAGCGTGCGAGAATGAACCTCATTGGTTCTTGCTGAAGCTCAAACGTGCGAGAATGAACCTCATTGGTTCTTGCTGAAGCTCAAATGTGCGAGAATGAACCTCATTGGCTCTTGCTGAAGCTCAAATGTGCGAGAATTAACCTCATTGGCTCTTGCTGAAGCTCAAATGGGCGAGAACGAACCTCATTGGTTCTTGCTGAAGCTCAAACGTGCGAGAACGAACCTCATTGGTTCTTGCTGAAGCTCAAACGTGCGAGAATGAACCTCATTGGTTCTTGCTGAAGCTTAAACGTGCGAGAATGAACCTCATTGGTTCTTGCTGAAGCTCAAACGTGCGAGAATGAACTTCATTGGCTCTTGCTGAAGCTCAAATGTGCGAGAATGAACCTCATTGGCTCTTGCTGAAGCTTAAATGTGCAAGAATTAACCTCATTGGCTCTAGCTGAAGCTCAAATGGGCGAGAACGAACCTCATTGGTTCTTGCTGAAGCTCAAACGTGCGATAACGAACCTCATTGGTTCTTGCTGAAGCTCAAACGTGCAAGAATTAACCTCATTGGCTCTAGCTGAAGCTCAAACGTGCGATAACGAACCTCATTGGTTCTTGCTGAAGCTCAAACGTGCGAGAACGAACCTCATTGGTTCTTGCTGAAGCTCAAACGTGCAAGAATTAACCTCATTGGTTCTTGCTGAAGCTCAAACGTGCGATAATGAACCTCATTGGCTCTTGCTGAAGCTCAAACGTGCGAGAACGAACCTCATTGGTTCTTGCTGAAGCTCAAACGTGCAAGAATTAACCTCATTGGCTCTAGCTGAAGCTCAAACGTGCGATAACGAACCTCATTGGTTCTTGCTGAAGCTCAAACGTGCGAGAACGAACCTCATTGGTTCTTGCTGAAGCTCAAACGTGCGAGAATGAACCTCATTGGTTCTTGCTGAAGCTCAAACGTGCGAGCTGAAGCTCAAACGTGCGAGAAAGAACCTCATTGGCTCTTGCTGAAGCTCAAACGTGCGAGAATGAACCTCATTGGTTCTTGCTGAAGCTCAAACGTGCGAGAATGAACCTCATTGGCTCTTGCTGAAGCTCAAACGTGCGAGAATGAACCTCATTGGCTCTTGCTGAAGCTCAAACGTGCGAGAATGAACCTCATTGGTTCTTGCTGAAGCTCAAACGTGCGAGAATGAACCTCATTGGCTCTTGCTGAAGCTCAAATGGGCGAGAACGAACCTCATTGGTTCTTGCTGAAGCTCAAATGGGCGAGAACGAACCTCATTGGTTCTTGCTGAAGCTCAAACGTGCGAGAATGAACCTCATTGGCTCTTGCTGAAGCTCAAACGTGTGAGAATGAACCTCATTGGCTCTTGCTGAAGCTCAAACGTGCGAGAATGAACCTCATTGATTCTTGCTGAAGCTCAAACGTCAATTCAATTCAAATTTATTTGTATAGCGCTTTTCACAATACATATTGTTTCAAAGCAGCTTTACAGAAAGTGCATTTCAGAAATGTACATGGAAAAATACATTTAGTTAATCATGTAATAATTTAGGGCATAACATATCGCCGGCGTTGAGTCGTCTCTTCACAGGTGTTGAGTCTCTTCACAGGCGTCGAGTCGTCTCATCGCAGGTGTTGGGGCATCTGAAGTCTCTGTGAGAGGCTGGATACAAACTGGAGCTGACGAACGCCATTTTCCTCGGGACTAGCGTCCTGAGATAACAGCAGAAAAGCAAATGGGAAATAATTAGCATAGCTGCTGTTCATAATGATTTCCATAACACGAGAGTAGATGTTAAAAACTAGAAGACAGTGACTCTGGTGTCCCAGTCACCCCCCTCCGTCCCCCACTCAACTCAGCCCAGCTCATTGGTTCATGTCCCCTGACATGAAATTTACACTTTCTGAGGTTTTTTAACATTAATATGAGTTCCCCTAGCCTGTATATGGTCCCCCAGTGGCTAGAAATTTCAATTGGTGTAAACCGAGCTTTGGCTATCTGTCTCTGCCTTTGAGAAAATGAAAGCTCAGACGGGCTGATCTTGAATCTCCCCTGTATGACGTCATAAGGAGGAATGGTAACCTCCCCTTTCTCTGCTTTGCCCGCCCAGAGAATTTGGCTCGCCCATGGGAAAGTGAGCTAGGAAGTACGAACGCGCGAGCGCGATTTGAGTTTTTCCTCGAGAGATCAACGTTTTTCTGATGCAGGTAGCGGTAGATAACTAGATGAATAGCCTAGAGATTGATGTGTGTGTGTGTGTGTCTGTGTGTGTACATGTGATTAATTGAGTTAGAAAATGTCTTTATTTAAGCTCCATCAGATGAGTCGCGTTACATCTAAGTATTTTGCTGTTTAATGAAGCCATTTAATGATTTTACGTAAAACAAGTAACGTTTTGATGCGTATTTTTGCCTTTGAGTCGCCATGGTATTGCAGTGAAGTGCAGTTTTTTGTGTGCCATGTAATCTTGAATCAGAATAAGTTCCTCTTGCAGCATCTCTACTCTTCTCTGATGACGAGGGCGGGGCTATAACCTGTCACTCACATGAGGACAGCCAATAGCAAACCACAACCAGACAATCAATTCCCTATGCACTAAATTAAGCCCCGCCTTACATTTTTTCTTGTTCGAGAAGCTGTTGTTGACAAATCAGGTCCTCCCTTGAAATCTGGTTGATTTTTTTCTCAATAAATTAAGTCTTAAAGGCACACTATGCAGTTTTCCGTTTTTTATCAAACAGCGACCCCTAGAATCGCTGTAGAGTATTTCTATTTATTGTATCCATCAACAAGAACGCCAGGTCAGCATCGCTGTTGCATCCTTTGCTGCTTTTTAGCTCTCGCCAACGAGTGAAAGCCTGACCGCGTGACTCTTGTCCGGTTCCTCACGCGGTCAGTTTCTCGTCTTCTTTTCCTCGACTCTCCCATGTAGTGTAAAGTGTAAATATTCAACAGACGTGTGTCAATAACACGTCAGGAAAGTGTCAGGAACAGTTGTGTGTATTATGTGTGTGATTTTAGAGACTAAACTCACCTGAAGGCAGTGAAAACAGCAGCGAGAGCGGGAGTCCATATAGGTGGTTCGTGGACAAACGCCCATACAAATAAGCTGCCATTGGACGCATAATGTCCCAGAGGGACCGTAGGGTGAATTGGGATGACAAATACCCATTATTTTAATGGCAAGTGGGCCTTTTGCAATTACCCCCATGTCCGCGGATCCCTACCTACTTGCCCCAGAATAGGGGGTATTCGGACACCTTTAGGGGGCGACACTGAGCTGAACCCCCCCCTGAACTCCCACTCCCTCCTCCC